TAAGACTTCAACATGTGAGCTCTTTGGGAACACAGGTTAACCCATAACCTGAGTATCCCCTACCCAATTATCTCCAGGAGATCTCTCTTAATTGTCCCACCCTCTCCCAGAATTGGCCTTTGGCTGGCCTCACTCCATGTATCCCTCGGCTGTGTCCATATACCTCCATCTGACTGTGCTCAGTCTCTGGTCCATGCTTAGCCCCTTTCTCTGTCTTTCAGTCACACCTCAGGGACTGTGGCTGTTTGCATCTGCCTGTGTTCTTCCTTTATGGCTTATTCTTTTCCCAAATTCCTGTTATTTATTTCTCTATCACACCCCATCCAGCCATCACAGTTAGGTCCTAGTGGTGTGCTGTCTTGAATTTGTATGGATACACATGAAAATCCTAGCTCTAGATGCTGGGGGGGGGCTTCTCCAGGGTTTTCTGAGTCACCATGTTTCAAATACCCTGTTTCTCTGGCCTAACTTTCCTCTTGCCTCATCAGCTCCCCACTCTGCTTCTACCCCTTGGTTAGGCGGCTCAGATCAATGACTCCAGAGCTGAGTAAACAACCACATGATGGACGTCAGGATACCCTGCAACAGACCGCGCCGGGACAGCACGTGGCGTCATGCAGCGCCCCACGTTCCCCCGAAGGGCATTCCCCTTTCTCATCCTTGCCAGGGTGGTATTTGGTATTCTAGGCGCCTGGCTGGTGGGTGGGTCAATTAAGTTCTGATCCTTGCCCAGGTAACCTAACCCTCGCTAAGCACTGACTTAGAACACAGGCTCAGGCTGCCACGCAAGCCAGCCTCCCCCACTGTGTACACTGACGTCGGTCGGAGCTGTGCTGCCTTGTGCTGCATTGTTGAGTCCTATGGGGAGGCTGTTATAGATTTGGCTGACCTACGTTGAAAATTCCACTAACTAATTGGCATTTAGAGACAGGACTGTGGGTTCGGGGACCTCCTTAACGTGGCCATGGATCATTTCTCTTGGCCTGGATACTTCCCACCTATCAGGTCCAGTCAACACAAGTCAATATAGAAGAGCAGTGTGATGTTCTCTAGAAAGTCAAGATGATCAAGATCTCTGTGGACCGCATTATACAAAAGTTTAAAAGTTGGCATAGGTGCCCGGCTGGCATGGCTCAGTGGTTAAATGTTGACCCATGAACCAGGAGATCACGGTTTGACTCCCACTCAGGGCACATGCCTGGGTTGCAGGCTCAATCCCCAGTAAAGGGCACGCAGAAGGCAGCCGATCAATGACTCTCTCATCATGGATATTAGTCTCTCTCTCTCTCTCCCCCTCCCTTCCTTTCTCTGAAATAAAAAAGTTGGCATAGGTCTGAAAATTGGTACGGAGAAAAAAAGTATTTGCCAAGTCCGCTGTAGTTTCATCTCAGTTGCCAGAAGCTGTGTTAATTTGCTTTACTAAAATACCACATCCAAAACACAGCAGAATTGAAGTCACTGCTTTATTAAGTTTATAATAATCCAGTTTTTCCCCCAAGAATTATCATCATCCGCACAGGCCAAATAGGGATATGATGTTTTACATCTTTTACGGTAGCACAGTATGTTGTGTTATGCTGGCAGAAGCCTCATACATCTTGTGTTTATTGCATTTCTTGGTTGCATCAATTTCTTTGGTGTTTGATTTAAACTCGTGGTATTTTGTACAGTAACATGCTGTACAGGGTTGTAGCCTAGGAGCAGTAGACTGTGCCATAGAGCCTAGGTGTGTAGTAGGCTAGACCAGCAATTTTCAACCTTTTTTATCTCAGGGCACACTCTCAGGAACAAAGACTTGAAATATGACAGTCACTATACATAGAATAAAAAATGCCTTAAAAATAAAAAATGTTCTAATATGAACCTTCAACAATTTCTCTTAACCACTACAACCAGAGATTTCAAGATTCGGAATAAATACACATACCTCATCTATTTAATTAATTATTCGGGATATCCCCCTATTCTCATTAGCCAGAAATCTGGTGTCCCTATCGTGAGAACTCTTCTTAGTAGCCTCCACCCCAGTTATCTAAACCTTTCAGCACTGTGGGCTTAGTCCTAAGGAGCAATCATCACTCTCATTCACTGCTGAGGGTGGAGGCTGTGAGTTGGCACAACCTTTGAGTGTGGCTTGACAATAGCAGCCAAAATTAAAAGGGAATGTATCATTTGACTCAGCAATTCACAGCTAATGACTTATCCTGAGGTGTACTCAACTGCGCAAAATTACCTATGAGCAAGCTTATTTGTTGCAGCTCTGTTTAATAGTGAAAGGCTGGAAGTAACTGCAGTGTTCATCATTAGATGGCTGACTAATAAACGGTGGTACATTCTTACGGTGGAATGCAGGATCCCAGCAGGAAAGGTAAGTCAGACACAAACAGGATAACTGAGAGTTTAATGAGAGGACTGTTTACAAAGTTGAGGGAAATCCAATGAGGGATGGGAAACACCTGTAAACTAGCCACAGTGAGGTTCCCCTGGATCCCTGTCCCTGAAGGAGGGAGCAGTTCCTGGAACGGTGACACCTGTACATACAACAGGAGTCGTGGCCAAAGCAAGTTACATGACCAAGTGTGCCAGTTGGGGAGGGGGGAGTGTAATCTTGTCCTAAGAGAACGACCAGTGCGAGGGAAGAAAACATTTTGAAAATACAGTCATTCCTCCGTATCCATAGGTTCTGTATCCATGGATTCAACCAACTGCTGTTGGTTGTGGAACCTAGGGATACAGAGGGCCAACTAAAGGACTTGAGTCTCCTCAGATTTTGGTATTGAGGGGGGTTCTGGAACCAATTCCCCTCAGATACCAAGGGATGACTGTGGAATAATTTACCACGGACAAGGCAAGCCTCAGACTTCAGTGACTCTCCTGCCCCCAAGTGGATAAAGCCTGTCAGATAATAAAGTCAAAGAGAGATGAGGAGAGCAAAAGAGACTGAGAAAAACATTATTTAAACCTGCATCCAGCATAGGGGTAGATGCCAAGGGAAACCAGAGCTACCTAATCCCTTAATTAAGCCTTCACACCTCTGCCAGGACTTGCCATAAGAGCTTTTCTGGGACTTTAACAAGAAGGCGCCCCACCTCTCTCTCACCAAGTGCCTGGGACCAAGGGTGTCAAATTCTCCAGGATCTACAAGCACACA